GAAGAACTCGGGACGGACGGACACCAAGGATCTCCGTTCACCCCCGAGATACAGGATCAGGCGATCCCGCCACACTTCCGCCTCCCTTCCCTGGACGCGTATGATGGCGCAACCGACCCCGCGGACCATGTGGCCGCTTTTCGGGCCCAGATGGCGCTGTTCGGGACTTCAGACGCCTTGATGTGCCGGGCGTTCCCGACGACCTTGCGAGGACCAGCCCGTGCATGGTACAGCGGCCTGAAGTCAGGAACCGTCGCCTCCTTCGACCAGCTCGCCAAGGATTTTGAGCTTAACTTCCTAGCGTACGCCCGACCGAAGCCATCCATGGCGTTGCTCCTAGGGCTCAACCAGAAGGAGGACGAGCCCCTTTCTCACTTTGTGAACCGGTTTACGACGCAAATCCGTGGATTACCGGATGCTCACCCCTCTCTCTTGATGCAGGCCTTCATGACTGGTCTGCGGCCCTCCAGGTTCTTCTGGTCGCTTGTGGAGAGACCCCCCGTCGCGGTCCCTGAGATGCTCCAACGGGCCAGCCAGTTCGTCGCCGCAGAAACCTGGATGATGGGAAAGCGAGAAGAACACAGAAAGGTCAAGTCGGAGCCGCCCCGACAGCAGCAACCCACCACCTCCCGGCGAAAGCTGGACAGGCCTGACCCTAGGCCCCCTCTTCCCGCCCTGAACTCTTCCCGGACGGAGATATTCCTACACGAAAAGGGGAAGGGGCTGCTCAGGGACCCCCACCCCATGAAGAACCCGCGAGAGCTCGCAGATCACTCAAAGTACTGCCGATTTCATCGACAGCACGGGCATGACACGGAGCAGTGTTACGAGCTGAAAAGACAAATCGAGGAGCTCATCCTCAGAGGCCATCTCGGCCAGTACCTCCGGCCGAGCAAAGAGCAGTCTCCTCGTCCGGAGGGCCCTGTTGAGCGACACATCGATGTCATAGCTGGGGGCCCCGCATCCGGAGGAAGTTCTATGTCGGGCAGGAAGGCCTACGCCCGGGCCGCCCCCGACGAAGCCTCGGGACGTGAGCCTGAGCCCGAGATCACCTTCCCAACCGGAGCCGCTGAGCGACCCCACCACGACGACGCCCTGGTAATATCGGCCAGGGTAGCCAACGCGCAAGTAAAAAGAATCATGGTCGACACGGGGAGCTCGGCCGACATACTCTACTTTGGCGCCTTCCAGAAGCTGGCCCTAGCTAGGGAAAATTTAAGCACTATGTGTTCGGCACTCACCGGCTTCACGGGAGATTCGATATCACCTCTAGGAGCCATTACCCTCCCTCTGACTCTGGGAACCCCGCCGAAATCAAAGACGGTCATGACCACCTTTCTGGTAGTCGACCTTCCCACCGCTTATAATGCCATACTTGGCCGGCCAACCCTCAACAAGGTCAGAGTCGTCGTCTCGACCTACTACCGGACCGTCAAGTTCCCGACTCGGGAGGGGGTCGGGGAAGTCACCGGAAGCCCCCAAGAGTCCAGGCGCTGCTACCTTACCTCCGTCTCATTGGGCAAAAGGGCCAGGGGAGAATCGCCTCTAGAAGATCCCCGGGAGGCAAAGAGGCCGGCCCCTCACCCTGGGCCGAGGGGATCCACTGCTGACATCCCCTTACGGGAAGCACGGTCGGATCAAACGGTCAAGGTCGGCTCAGAGCTACCCGAGCGAGAACTGGAACAGCTCGTCGGCCTTCTACGGGAGAATGCCGACATCTTCGCCTGGTCCCCATCGGACATGAAGGGAGTCGACCCCAAGGTCGCGGAGCATCATCTCAACATCCCACCTGACGTCCGACCGGTAAAGCAAAAACCCCGTCGCCACGCACCTGACCGGCAACGTGCCATACAAGAGGAGGTGGGCCGACTCTTGGCGGCAGGCTTCATAGAAGAGGCCAAGTATCCGCAGTGGTTGTCCAATGTAGTTCTCGTGAAAAAACACAATGGAAGCTGGAGGATGTGTGTTGACTACACTAGTCTCAACAGTGCGTGTCCTAAAGACTGCTACCCCCTCCCGAGGATCGACCAGCTGGTTGACGCAACAGCAGGGCACGCGCGCCTCTCTTTCATGGACGCCTATTCAGGATACAATCAGATCAGAATGGTGCCAGAAGACAGGGAACACACGGCTTTCCTCACCGATCAAGGGATATACTTTTACAGGGTCATGCCGTTCGGGTTGAAAAATGCCGGAGCTACATATCAGAGGACAGTAAACAATATGTTTGCCCCCCAAATCGGGAGGAACATGGAAGTCTACGTGGACGACATGATTATGAAAAGCAGAGAGGCCGGGACACACCTGGCCGACCTAGCCGAGGCCTTCGACATGCTACGCAAGTTCGGCATGCGGCTAAACCCCACGAAGTGCGCTTTCGGCGTCACCTCCGGGAAATTCCTGGGGTTCATTGTACACCAGAGAGGAATCGACGCCAACCCGGAGAAAGTACAGGCAATAATCGATATGCAGTCCCCCCGGACAGTTAAAGACCTGCAGCGACTCAATGGCAGACTCGTCGCCCTGTCTCGCTTCCTCGCCCGATCGGGCGATCGCTGCCTCCCTTTCTTCAAGGCGCTCAAAGACCCGAAAAACTTCCAATGGACGTCGGAATGCGAGGAGGCTTTGAAACAGATGAAGCAGCACTTGGCCACCCTCCCTCGACTCGCCTCTGTCTTCCCCGACGAAAAGCTAGGGCTCTATCTGGCGGCCTCCCCGTACGCGGTTAGCTCCGTCCTTGTCAAGGAAATCTCCGGCGCACAGCTCCCGATCTACTACGTCAGCCACGTCTTGAGTGGACCTGAGGAGCGTTACCCGCCGATAGAAAAACTCACACTCGCCCTGGTGCTCTCAGCCCGGAAGTTGCGCCCCTACTTCCAGGCACACTCGGTGGAAGTCGTCACCGACCAACCTCTCCGGCAGATCTTAACAAAGTTCGATGTTGCAGGTCGGCTTCTCCGATGGGCGGTGGAGCTCGGTGAGCATGACATTAGCTACGTACCCAGGACCGCCATCAAGGCCCAGGCGGTAGCCGACTTCATCGTGGAGCTAGCTCGGGTGGGCAAAGACCTCAAGCGAACTCCCGAGGCTTGGACCCTACACGTGGACGGCTCGGCCAACTCCGGGGGCGCCGGAGCTGGGCTGGTCCTTCTCGCCCCCGACGGACGCTCATTCGAGCGCTCCCTCCGCTTCGGGTTTAAAGCCACCAACAATGAGGCGGAGTACGAAGCCCTCCTACCCGGATTGAGGCTGGCCCTCGAGATGCAGGTGGCCGCAATACACGTCCTCACTGACTCGCAACTCATGGCCGAACAGCTCAGCGGAGGATACGAGGCTCGTGACGCAACCATGGCCAAATATCTGGCACGGGTAAGGGATCTAACCACGAAATTCCCTTACTTTACATTATCTAACATCCCGAGGGAGGAGAACGCACGGGCCGACGCGCTCGCTAAGCTGGCGTCGAGACGAACCCCCGAAGCGTGGTCAGAGATAGAGGAGCTTCCCGCTCATGCCATTGAGGTAGCTACCACGGCCCCAGGCAGTACGCAGACCACGTGGGTGCAAGAGCTGCTGCGCTTCAAGCGAGATGGAGCCCTCCCCCTCGACGAAGTCGCAGCTCGGCGTCTGCGCCGCACACACGCTTGGTACACCGAGGAAAGTGGCCGGCTGTACAGACGATCCTTCACCTACCCCCTCCTAAGGTGTTTGGAGCCTGACGAAGCCCAGACCGTCCTGGCTGAAACTCACGAGGGGATCTGCGGCGAACACATTGGCGGGCGGACCCTGGCGCACAAGATACTTCGCCAAGGCTACTACTGGCCAACCATGTGTCGAGACGCAAAAGCTTACGTGCAGCGGTGCAGCCCGTGCCAGCAACACGCCCGCGCGCCCCGACAACCTGCGGTCCCCCTCAGTCCCATCGACTGCGCATGGCCGTTCGCCCAGTGGGGACTGGACCTCCTCGGCCCCTTTCCACCGGCCTCTGGACAGCGGAAGTATATAATCGTGGGAGTAGATTACTTCACGAAGTGGGTCGAGTACGAGCCGCTGGCTACGACGACGGAACACCAAATGGAGAAATTCGTTTGGAAAAACCTTGTGACCCGGTTCGGGTTGCCTAGAGCCATCGTCACCGACAACGGACCACAGTTCGCCGGCACGAGGTTCCAGGAGTTCTGCGCCGGTCATGACATTCAGCTGAGGTTCAGTTCGGTAGCCCATCCTCAGACGAACGGGTTGGCCGAGGTGACCAACCGATCCATCCTGGATGGCCTCAGAAAAAGAGTATCCGCGGCCCGATCGACCTGGGCGGACGAGCTCCCTAGCGTGCTATGGTCGCTGCGCACCACCCCCAAGGCCGCGACCGGAGAATCCCCCTATAGCTTGGCTTTCGGAACTGAGGCCGTCCTACCGCCCGAGATGACTGTCGCCACGCTTCGAACGAGGAACTATGACCAGGAGGCCTCGAACCAGGGACTTCGCGCCAACCTCGACGTACTCGAGGAGCGACGTACTGACGCGCACCTGAAAGCCCTCTCTTACCAGAGAGCCGTCGCAAGGGTCTATAACAGAAGGGTGCGACCCAGGTCAGTCAGGTTAGGCGATCTAGTCCTACGAAGAGCCGAAGTCAGCGACCCAACTCGGGCGAGGGGGAAGCTGGCTCCCAAGTGGGAGGGACCTTACCGGGTTACCGGCGTGGTTCGACCAGGTACTTATCGACTCACCACGATGGACGGTTCCTCTGTGCCGAGGACATGGAACGTCCAGAACCTTAAGAAGTTCTTCGTCTGAGGCCAATGCCCCGGCTCCCCAGTCGAATTTGTGCAATACAATTTCCAGAGCTTAAAAGACGCTTTTATCCACGAAGCATGGGATTACAAGACTCAACTTTCAAAGCAGAAAGACGTATTGGAACGAAGTTTTCTTTATAAGGCAAGGTGTTACAACCGCAGCCAGACCCGAAGGACACAAAAAGTACAAAGTACAGAAACTGCTCGGCTGAGCTGACCTCCGGGCCACCTTAACCGTCTGATCCTCCCATGCCATCATCAAAGGGAACTTCCTCTGGCATGTCCACATCCAAATCCTCAGGATGCGAGACAAACGGATCCGTCTCCACTTCCAGCCCGGGATGGCTCGTCTGGAACCGGCCAAGGGCGATCCGGTACCCGTACTCATAGGTAACCTGCCTCGACCGAGCCAGCCCGAGCTGGAAGCCCGGGGACTGTTTATAGGCCTCGATTATTTCCTTCTCCTTCTCTGGCCGCCGCTCCCGCTCGGTCACCAGGGCGTCGGAAGCCCCCTTCATGTCAGCCAGTGCGTCCTCCAACCGCTGGGTCAGGACGGCTGCCTCGCCTCGGGCCAGACGAGCCTCGGACTGAGCTCCCTCCAAGAGTCCCCGGAGATCGCTTTGCTCTTCCTCGGCCGCCTTCGCCTCGGACCTTAAGCGAAGGACCTCGGCCTCCAACAACGACACGCACTTGTCGGCCATCGCCGCCTCAGCCCGGAGACGCGTCGCCTCCGCTTCGAGCTCTGAGGAGCGCTGCTCGGCCGCTGCAACCGCCTCCGGAGCCGCCCCGGCCCGAACCTCCTCGAGCTGCTTGCGCAACTCGGCATTGCGCTCGCACAAAATTCCTAGGGCCCGACCCGCATCGCGAACGTGGTCTGCCAGTGCCATCGCGTAGTGCTGGCCCTGCAAGAAGAAAGTCAGAACGATCCCCCGGAGT